TTCGTTCATAAACTTGACAACTTTTTCCTTCAAATACTCAGCAGAAGCGAAATCCAGCCTTTGTTTGACGTTTACAAAGCATATATCATAGTTATAAACCTATAAAAAAAAATATAAAATCGGATCATTTATGCCATGATTTCGGAAAATCCGGCTTACCCTTTTCTTTTCTATGTGTATTTGGGGACTTGCACTTCTATACAGTATAAATGAAATATTGGCAACTACACCGCAAATAATTCCGTACTCAAGACTCCAGAATAGGCATGTAAAAAATGTCGTTATAAACGGAAAAATATCTTGTCCTAAAATGAAAAGTAATACATACATATGTATGTAGATATGTATGAGGAAATGTACAAGTAACGTACGTTCTTTTTTAGTGTATATCATTACCTTAATATAGAAAGGCCCTAACTCATTTTGATATTTCGAATCCAGATTTATACAAAATCTGTCAAATAGCTCACATTATATCTAGTAGAAATGGCAACCAAATATTATAGCGTTAGATAAAATATTATGTTTAATAAAATTCAGCACTTCGACGAAATTCGCAACTGTAGAACCTTGCTTTTCGCTAAATTTTCAAACTATGTTTGAAGGAACAAAAATGTGAGAAGAGGCCTTTCTGTATTAAGGTAACGATATATGTATATATTTACTTTTTGATTTCCATATATCGGGAATTTTCTTAAGTTCGACAAGAGATATCATAGCTGCAATAATGACTGATGCCAACGTCGCTTTTGGGATATAATAGAATGTTTGAGTGAGAAAAGCCAATGCCATCAATACCATTGCACCAGTTACCGCGCCACCCAAGGGCGTTTTAACGCCGCTAGCATTATTTACAGCTGTTCTTGTAAATGACCCTGTCACCGGCATAGATGACACAAAACTGCCCATGATGTTGCACATGCCAAGGGCAATCATTTCCTGAGATGCATCAACAATTTTCCCTTTGGCTGTAAAGAAATTAAATTACTTAAAACATACTATATGCACATAGTAAGTAATCTGTGCATTCATATGCATATTTTAATAAATATCTGGTTACTTTGGGGGGTGGGCCGTAAATGGTATTTTCCTGAAATTCATTAGTAAAATTGAAAAAAAAGATAAGGTATTTTATGAGATCAAGTGCGTGCTTGTAAAATAGTTTTATTTGATTAAGCAGATTTGGTGATTACGTAATTAATGCTCGAGATGCTTTGTGCCCCCTATGCAAATTTCCAGAACATGTCGTCACTAGACGAAAGAACGAAAAAAGACGCATAAAAAAACTTCAGCGTCAAAAACTCTTAACATACTTCGCCGAAGTTTTTCATAAGCATCTTTTTTCGCAAACTTTTTTTACGCGCCTTTTTTCGCCGTCAAAACAGTAGCGCGCCTTTATACGTGTGTAGTGACGATGTATTATTAATAACATGTGTATTAATGGTTTCATATTATTTGATAGAAGTTTCGAAGATTATTCCAGGACTAATGCATTTGCGTACAAGCACTGGTTTACGCCAAGGAATTGACTGTTATAGTTCTTAAAAAAAGCACAATTTAATCGTTAAAACTACATTTCTATTTTTCAGAAAAAATTTTTCGAATGAACAAAAGTCCAAAATAACTATAAGTTTTAATCATCTGTATATATTATGTATCCTACATTTATCCTCCATTATTTTATAATCTGTGAATAAAAAAGCAATTCTGCTCAATTTTTTTTAACACAGATTTAATAAGGAATGAAATTACGATACCTAATTTCGGGCAACCCGCATTGGACTTCATTTATCGCAATTTTGGAAACTGTCGAAATCAGGCCATACCCATGGTTCTTTTAGTAAAGTACTGAAGTACAAAGCTCCAAAAATCTTTACACAACTCGGATACATTTTTTGAAAAATTATGTTTTAACCTGATATACTAAACTTAATAACCTTTAATTTGATATATAAGTGATTATTTATTTATTTCACATCGTCTTGAAACTATTAAATTTTCAAAAATTTCCAAATTTGTAAGACAATTGTTTATTTAGAGCCAAGGTAACTTAATATCACTATTACTTATAAAATCTTTAAAAAGCGTTTATTTTTCTCCATTGAAAACCCATTCGACCCGGCCAAATGTACAAATCTAGATATTATGCTATCAATACAGAATGAAAAATATACTCACAGAATGCTTTAGAAATTGCTACTATTTCTAGAATCGCTACCAAAGGTATTGATGCTAATGATGAGCCTATTGTGCTTATCATATCCGAGAAAGCGACTTCCTCTCCATCAACGTATGTGCTAAAGGGAGGCACTCGAAAAGGTGGCAATCCTGCTGTAATATTACCAGTAATTCTGAAAGGTTCAGCTCCATCCCGACTTAACTGGTAGGCCAAAAACGTTCCAAATATGACTACCAAGGCGTTGCGAGACAGGGAAATATACTTCCAAAAAGTCTTGTTTCCGTAGGGTATATTCTTTACTTCCTAAAAAGTTGACACTTTTGTAATAAGTATGTATGTGCATGGTTGGATTAAAAATAATGTGTGTTGAGTTACCTTCATCAATAGAAGAAAGATTAGACTGCATACGCCAAGTAAAGAGTCATTCATACGAATTGATGTGAGGTGTGTAAAAAAATGTTTCCACGATGGAATTAATTGATTCGACGGACCTTTGAAGTAAACAAGTATTTTCTTCATTTATATTGTACATATAAAGTGCTCTTCCAAAGCTGCATTGAAAAGAACTAAAATACAAATATAGGATTGAAAATATACTTGCAGTTGCCTTTTAATTTAGTTGTGTGGCATACGGAATTAAAGGTAATGATCTTTTTAAATATCCAATAAAACCGGCTAAATATAAGTCGAATTTATGCTACGTGACTTCGAGACAGTTACAGTATGATTTACACAAATCAATCATAGTTGAACTCATTGAAACTACGAATAGGACATCGATATGATTATAAAGTAAAGGATGTGTTAATGCCCCCCTGGCGCATTCTTAATGAATTTTCATAGTTGCTTGCTTACTGCTCATTCCAAAGAGATTGTTGATTTGTGCACTACCGATTGTGCAGGCTGCTGCCATTGTGAAACCCGTGATGACAGGAACAGAAATGAATCGCACAAGCACGCCCAGATTAAAGATGCCTAGCAGCAATATAATGCAGCCCGCCAAAAAGGATATCAAGATGGCATAGTCCGGTGTTATAATCGCGTAATCATGTACCATCAATGCCATAATTGCAGTGGTGGCTAAATACATTCATTTACATAAATAATTAAATAAGCAATAAAATAAATTATTAATCTCTCGCATAAAAGCTGGTTTTCTCTTCCTTACCAATGGTAACGTCCTTGCAAGAACCAAATATAATATAGGTAAAACAGCCCATAAATGCCGCGTAAAGTCCATATTGGGGTTGTAAGCCCGCGACGACACCATAAGCGATTGCTTGTGGAATAGTCGTAAGACCCACTGTGAATCCAGCAATAGCATCGCGGAATAAAAACGATATCTGGTATTTAGGTAGCCATTTTAGTATTGGAAATTTGCTTGTTATCGTAGTTAATCGGCAGAGTTTTTTACTACTGTTGGAAATTGTTGAACGCAAGTTGGGAAATTGCTGCTCGTATAAACCGGCTGAAAATCATAATATGTACGTACATATTAACATATGTATGTATGTATGTATGAAGACAATAGATTAAGAATAAGCAACAAGGTTAAATCAAATCTGGAAGCAACTAATTTTGCACCAGTTCGCCTAGTTGCACCAATGAAGACAATCATTTATTTAAGTATATCCATCTAAACATGTAAAAGCCATGCAAATTTATTAATTGTATAAATTTTTCAGCACATATCGGCGGTCGATAAAGTCGGTGTTGTGCGGCGGTTTCAAAACAATTTAAACAAGAAATATTGCCGTCGCCTTTTTGTTTTGACATTTTTTCGTAGAAATGGTATAGAATTCTTGAAAGTCAATATTTTTCGATCGGAAAACTCTGGTTCTCTTCAGGAGACTTTCAATAATAACACCCAACTGTTTATTTAACAATTTTTTAATACTAACGATTTTTTATTAGTCGCCCCATTGCATTTTTCGGGCTTTTTGTGGGTTTTTGGCGGACCTATAAATTATAGTTGCAATGAAAAAATGGTTAAACAAACAATTGGGTAGTATTATTGGGAATCTCCTGCAGATAAACAGAGTTCTCTGGTAGAAAAATATTGATTTTTAACTATTCTATACCATTTCTACGAAAAGTGGTTTTTTCCCCATATAAAATACATGGAAACCTTTGGGCGCTTTGAGCGACCTCGAAATATTTTTTAAATTAAAAAATAAAAAAAATAAGGGTATATTTTTTTCGATGTAGAACAATCCGACTTTACTTTTTCACATGCATTTTTGGACCGCCCTATTGTACATACATACATATATGTATGAATATATAAACCTGCTTGTACAAAAACAATCACAATCGGCATCCACAAAAAACTCAGTTAATTTTTCACTTGTCAAATGCTTCCATAAACAATAAAATTTACCTCAGTGTTTTCTGATGCAATCTGAGATATGTATGTATATGTATGAATGTATTTACATTTTATTTTGTATGTACATACAGACATACTTACGCGGAGCTTCCGCATTAATTTTAACATTTGCATTCGCAAAAATCAATGCGGATCTTTTGCGAATGTGAATATTGAAGGGGCCGAAAATTACAGTTATTTTTTTTTTACGAGTTAAACTTATTTTTTATTCCGAAATAAATGTACTTTCCGGATAATAAACAAACCGCTTATCCAAACTAAACTAGTTTGGTATCCAATGAAAGAGGACTGAAATAGCTTTAAAACTGAAATGTCTAAACGAGGAAAGCCCCACATTGAAAAATATTTCAATAAAAAATGTTAATTAATTACCATAGAAAAAACATTGGGTCAGGTATGTATTTACATGAATTTCTTTAGTATTGAGTTATAAAAAAATATAAATAGAGGTGGTAACCTTCATTCGTTATTTCTGTATAAAAGCTATTTCAGTCCTCTTTCATATGATACCAAATTTGTTTCATTTGGATAAGCGGTTTGTTTATTATTCAGATAGGACGTTTTTTTTTTGAATAAAAAATATAAGGCCAAATTTAACTCGGAAAAAATAACTGTTATTTTCGGTCCATGGAATATTGTCCAAGCGCACAGACGTATATCTAACCAGTCACAGAAGAAAGCATTAAAAATGACAAAAATTACAAAAACTAAAATCGAAAAACGCTGATGACGTGACAGGTTCTCCAAATTCCGAAACAACAAAAAGAATGAGAATGAAGAATTCTTTGGAAAAAAAAAACGTTGCGTAAACAACGATTGTGCCATGATGCTAGATAGTGAAGATGCAAGTCACGAGGATACATCCGACATTTGCAACCCCGATGAAATTCTCAAAAAGTAATTATTGCACCGCAATAAAAATAAATAAATATAACTGAAAGTCCTATCAACGGGTGCAGTGTCAATCGAAAAGAATTTACAATTTTCGTCAAGTTTCAAGTTTGTCGCCTCGAGCGAGTAGTTATATAGAGGCGCAGGTTGGATTTACGACCCTTCGAAAAGTTTTTATTAAGTACAATGTTCCAATTTTTAAATTCAAGTACTAAAAAAACATTCAGTCTTATCATGAGTTTAATTTTACCCGAACCGGTTTACTTTTTACTTTTGGTTTTCATGTACATATTTCCTATGGGCGGAATACAAATTTTCGGGTGAATTTTTTTGGGACAAAACTTTTTAAAAATTATTAACCTTTCCATTTTTTATTTACCTAAATCGCCTAATTTATCCATCTAAATTATTTCTTAAAAATACGTGACATCCGCATTCTTTAGCTTTTTAACATCCGCAACCGCATTCGCATCCGCAGATGTCTAAAATTCCACATTCGCAACATCCCTATTACATACATATGTGCATATCCGGCTTACGTGTGCGCAGCTATACTTCTCTTAGAACATATCGACCCTCTTGCAGCAAATTTGCGATAAACTAAAAATTTCCGTTTGTCAGAAAATTAAACAAATTTTAAGCTCATCTTAAAGACATACTGTGGTATTTTGGCATGATTCTATAATAAAAGGTTTGCTCAGAAAGCAGGGCTCGAACCGTCACATCCGTTCACGGGTCGAAAGCCATACGAAAGAAAATTACGTGATACCGTCAGTCGTATAAGCTGAGTGGGGTAAAGAGTACGTTCACGTATGTCATAATCCGAAAAATGTGTTTTTACGTGACAAGTAATACGATATCGTATGTGACGATTCGGGCCCAGTTTTCTCGCTCCCTCTTGACAGAATCGGCTCCCTTAGCAAGGCAGTGTGTGTGGGTTCGTGTGTGTGTGTGCAAGCTTTTGTAAGGGAGTTAAGGGAGTGTCAAAACTCTAATGTCAATATTGAGCAAACCTTTAATTATTGAATCATAGTATTTTGGAACAAATTAACTGGAAAAATTTCTTTAAATTTTACTGGATAAACGTGAAAAATTTAAAATTTTCAGAACATATACTTTTGAAGAACGTGGACGACATGTACACATGTATGTATGTACATACGTAAGAATGCACAATACAATACGTATGGATGTACTAGGAATGTTAATCCCGGATTCCCGGTCATTTTAAGTTCTGAATATCCCGGGATTTTTGGCAAATAATCTCCTTCGCCAGTGTTGGCTATATATATACATATTTTTTTTTATTTGATAATTAATATTTTTTTATAAATGTCTAGCTCAATATACATACATATGTAGAATACCGTGCGATAGTAATCTACGCGATTCTTTCGTAACGAATTCGTACCGTTTTTGATGCTATAGACGTTACTGCCTCGAAGGCGCAAGTACGCACACATCTGTGCGATTTTATCGCAGTAAAAAACTGTCAATTTATAGACAAACAAAAAATTTTTTTCAACAAAAATAAAATTATTAACTTTTCTACATCAAATATGTTTCGTTTTCTTACGTGAATTGTGAATGTGCGAATAAATCGCTGCAGCGAAATCGTACAGTGCGTGGTTCCTCATTTATTTCAAACTATGGTCGGTATTGTTGTAATTTTTGTCGGAACAGATTTGCACCGACAGAATCGCATAGGTGTGTGGATACCTTTAAACAGATGAAATTTTTTGGTGCATAAGGACGGGTAAGTATTGAAAATGTCGTTTTAAAATTTTATCCTTGAAATTTTGCAATATTTACTTTTGAAAAAATTATATCTTAAGGACTTATAAAAACTCGAAAACATCCTCGAATTTCGTCCTTCTAACTTTATCAGTTTAAAAAAAAATACCTATTCGTCCTTGTGAATCCAAAAAATTTTAATTTTTTTTTAATTCTAAAGAAATTTCCTCTTGCATTTGGTACCCATATTTTTATTCTACATTGCAAAATTTTTTTAAATAATTTTTGGAATTAATCATATCTTTGAAATTACAAAGTTCTTGAAAATAAATCCCGACGTCAGAGAGCAAAAATAAAAACGCCCTTTAAATAAAAAAGGTTTCAAACCCATTTATTTATTATTTGTTCTATGGTAGCAGAGCTTCTAAAACAATATAGAAGCAATTTTTTCGATTTAAGTTGTTGAAAACTAATGAATATCTAAATCCCGGGATTGTGATAGATAACGACATCTCGAAAATCTCGGGATCGTAAAAAGTGAAAAAATTAACATCCCTAGTATGTACGTAGTGCTGCATATCTATCAGTTAACGAATTTGATATACACACTTACATATAATGGTTTTAAAAAAGTACAAATATTTACCGTCTGCGCCTGTCATATTTACAATGATGCCAGCAAAAAAAAAGCAATTAAACTGTCGTTAACGATCGCGGCAGTAATTCAATATTTAGGTTATGTGAACAAATACCATAAAGGTATGTATGTATGTATTTATATGATACGGCACTGTGCGATATCACCACCGCTCGGCTGGAGTGTTGAGTTGTAAATAACCAACAAGAAGGCGAACTGTTCAAAATCAGCTTAAAGTTGACTGCTAATAGCTAATCTACCTTAACCCGCAGAGCTCTCTCGCGATTTGTGATAGCGATACAAATTCGCTTATTAACAAGAAATTAACTTTGTATAATTTGTTCCGAGTAGCAAAATAATCTGCGGTGGGGTGTGTTATTCTACAATATTTGCATTATAACTTATTGTACATTATTATGAGCGCATTGCCCTATTCACTTTCTGGCAAATGCTTTACATTTGTACATACATACATACATATATATCGTCGTTTATAGTACAAAACCGCATATCGTCATTCAGCAAAACCGCGTAACTGAAATTTGCTGCCAAAAATTGGATTCCATTACAGAAACTCTTGGCCCAATCCTTATCCATGCGTCCTGAAATATACTAGCCAGAAAGAAATGCGACTGCTTTATAAAAAAGAGAACCATTTTAGAATATGAGTGCTTTTATTACTCTCTGGAAAATAATTTATACAACCTCACATACGCGGTTTTGTACTTTAAACGACGATATGTATGTAAGTATAAGGATGTGAAAAAGTAAATTCGGAATTTGTAAACTCTCACCCCCTCTCTTTTTCATAGTAACT